TCGTTTGTGGGAAAACTAAAACTGGTCGCAATTTTCGAATAAGAATGAGTCGGCAATTTTTAGTGGAATCGAAAATTTGGAGGTAAATAAAACACCGAAACCCGGTAAATAAATAGGCGATCGAATTTTTAGAGGGGTCGAAATTTTGGAGTTTTCACGGTACTAATTATTCCATTTCAATGAAACTTAGTATAAAGATGCTCTAGGACAATGTACAAACCTAATTAGTTTGGGGTAAAAATCTGTTCATATTAATTCCCTAATAAGCATAATAATTCATAATTTTTTGGTTCTAATCACATTTCAATTAAACTTGGAGACATAGATTTTCTGTTACATTGCGCAGACCTCATTAGTTTTACACTCAAATCTGGTCATATTAATTTTCTGATTTGCATAATTAGTTTTCAGCTAAGTAATTTCGAATTATATTTAATGTGTCTCCAATACTCTCAGCACATGGGAGTTCTTTCTAAGCTTTCTTTGATTTGCATTGATGGCAAATTCATGACTAGCTTAGGACCTCCTTGAGTTAAAATCTGAGGTAACAGCTGCTGTATGGACACTCTAAAAAAACAACCCCTGTAGTGCAGTACCAACATGTCTTCTGATCATATGCTGTTTAATGAAGCATTCTTGGACAGATTCTTCCAGGACAAATTATGTGATAATACTTGAATTATTGTATTATTTCTACTTTTCACACAGTTGTTTATTAATATATTTTATTACTTTGTAGGATGGTAATTGATGAGGACTCGTTAGACTGTGAGAGTGCATTGTATTGGAAGTGTTTGTGTCAACACATCAAATCACTAGGAGATGCAGGCGATGAGTACTTGGAAAAACTACTACCAACTTTATCTCAGTTTTGTGACTATGTTCAGAGGTAAGCTGTTTAAACCTTTCTGTGAAAAAATTATCAACTTGAAGGTAATTTAGTTCTCTTACAGCAAAACAAATCAGAAAATATAATTCAGTTCACAACTCATAGAACCATTCATTCTGAGGTTTATTGGGATCTCATATCTATGATGTGACATATTGATTGTATTACAGCCGTTCTGGGAATTATTCGGACAGTCAGTTAGCAAATTAACTTGCAACTTTGCAAAACACTTTGGTTTTTTTCCAATCTAGACTTGTCAGCGCCACTTGAGTGACGGGCGCGTGGTTTGAGATTACTATTTCATAGGGGTTGTCGGCTTGGTGAATTGCAAGTATTATCTAGCGTGCATTTACAGCAACCATTCTTTATTTTTTATAATTATATTGTAATTATTTTCAGTAATTTTGAAAATCACAAGTTGGGTGTTGCTTACAGCCTGTAAATCTGTCGAAAAATGTCAACCCCTCGCTCATGTTAGTCAGTTGTACCTGTTACAAAAATGGACTGGACATAATAATGGTCGTTATACCCCGTCATTTTCAAACTGCAGTTGTAAAAGTGATTCGATCAAGGAAGGCACTTTTGATTTGACAAAGTCCATCAAACTGTTATAATTGAGTTTTCCGTCTGTGTATCCCTGGCGTACTCTCCCACCTCGGTATTGAATTTGATACATAATGCACCAGTAATGTAAAAAAAAAAACTTTTAGTTTGGCCCAAAACTGTCGCAAAACTGCAGCGCGTCCCGCTAAGAAACTTTACTTTGAGCCTTTCCGCCAACAACGAGTCCATTAATACCTGGGGTTACTCAACACTCGGGAGTTGTTTTGTAAATTGCGCTATGTCAGGTGGACTCAGATGGTTATAACAATTTAAAATAACACTTTGAATGCATATGCAACATATAACCTGTTAATATATGGTAACCAACGCGTGTCGTTTTGAAAACAGCGTTTTACCCGCATCTTGCAAAATAATGGAATGATTCCAATTGTGGGCGTGCCAATACAACTGGTCTTTTCCAATCTAGACTTGATGGCGCCAAGTGTTTTGCAAACTTCCCAGATATATTGCTAACTGACTATCCGAATAATTCTCAGAATGGCTGTAATGTGTAGGAAATATATTGCTGTATTCCCATCTGCTGTGGCCTGCAGTAATTCAAAACAGGCAAATTATTTTGAGACCATGTGCATCAGAACATGTTTCAAACGAGTTAACAAGTGCAATTGGAATAAATAATCAGATGGGAAGCTGAAATAATTGTTAACATTTGGACTGTGAATAATTGAAAATGAACATTTAGTGCATATTTCAGATATTTCGAATAATAGTACCAAGTCTTCAAAGCTTTATATATTATCTCACACTCTTACTGTAATCATTGCTTGGATTAGTATGTACTGTAAGTTAGTGGTTGGCATTATAGTCACTTGTATCCTATACTGACTTTATTTTTTATAGTTACATGGTTAAAATAAAACCAAGTAAGAATCTTGATAATGTTGAAGAGACATTGAGACAGGAATTCATAGCCCAGCAGCTTTTAATATTAGCTGGGGTGTTGGATCTTACTGATGAAGTTGGCAGAAAGCGTCTGGACAAGCTGGTTCATGATATGTTGGTGTCTCCTGATATATCAGCATCACTCGTCAAGTTTTTGCTGGAGAGATTCAATGATTTGCATTCTGATGTCAATAGCCGAATCACCAAGGTTGCTGAGATCATTTCTGATGTGAGGGAACCCATCACTGTTGTTGAGACTCAAGAAAATGAGAAGAAAAAAAGACAACGAGACCTGAAGGTGATCAGAAGTACATTTCTTTATAATGTGTCATTTTCTATATCCATTCATAAAGTGGTTTTGCATTATGTCATCGTTTATTGTATATTGTATTTGCTCTATTAGTAGAGCATATGCAGTCGGAATGCAACTGAGCATTTCCACTATTATTGGGCGCGATTATTAGATGAGTAGCGCCGCCTATGGTGCAAAATCATGTTTTTTTTATATAAATGCAGAAGTGATGTGATAATTTCCCGCTGTATTTTTTTGTGCGTGTATTTTTTTTAGAATGTTTGTCAATTAATCATAATTTATAGTGCAGGTTTCACATATATATATATATATGTATTGTAATGTGTAATGTAATTGACCGTGTTAACGCCTAGTGTCTTAACTCAAAAAATAGTGATTTTTTAGGGGTGGCCGCTTGCTCGAGCACCTCCCTCCAAAAAGAGAACAAATGACAAGGTTAGTTCACCATGTGACAGATTGAGGGGGATATTACGACTTTGGAAGAAAATAAAATTTTGAAATTAGTTGCGTCATCATTAACATTTACAATTAAGAAACATTTTATTAGTCCCCGTTCGGACGAAGTCCGAAAACGGGGACTTATAATTCGGTCTCCGTCCGTCCGTGCGTCCGTCCGGAGTCATATCTCAGAATCCCTTGGACCGATTCCGTTCATTCTTTGCATGTGCCTAGTACTTTATGTGGGACATATGCACATACAGTGGTTTAGCGATTTGATTCAAAATGACCGACTGGCAGCCATCTTGTTTTTTGAAAATGTTGTATTTTGGACATGCTTTGTCAGTTTTCATTCAAATTTAGTACATAGATCATATATGTTAGGATACATGTCCCCGACCGTCCGTGAGTTCCTGAGTCTGTCCGACCGTCCGTGTGTCCGTCTGTCCGTGCGTCAGTCTGTCCGTCATATTTTAGAATCCTGTGGACCGATTCCGTTCATTCTTTGCATTCTTATGTGGGACATATGCACATGCAGTAGTTTAGCGATTCGATTCAAAATGGCCGACTGGCAGCCATCTTGTTTTTTGAAAAAGTTGTATTTTGGACATGCTTTGTCAGTTGTCATTCAAACTTGGTACATAGATTATACATGTTAGGATAGATGTCCATGACGATTTATTTCACAATTGGATCAAAGATGGTCGACTGGCAGGCATCTTGTTTTTGTTTTTTTATGCGGTATCTTGGACGTGCTCTGTCAGTTTTCATTCAAATTTGGCACATACATGTACTTTATACATGTTAGGATGCATGTCCATGACAATTTGTTTCAAAATCTTGTCAAGGATGGCCGATTGACAGCCATCTGACTTTTTGGCCTTACTACTATATTTCCACAATTTATGTACCATTTTCATTCGTATTTGGCACATCATACATATCAGTGTGTTTCATAATCAGATCAAAGATGGCCGAATAACGGCTGTTTTTATTTTGGCCATATTACTATGACACGAAACACATGTTTTGATGTAAATAAACAATCTGTTGTATACGCCACTTGGAACTCAAGTTTCAAGGACACACTCGCGACAACCCCTCCGCTTTAATATGACGAGCACAAAGAGAACTTAACGGGGAGTGTGTCATTTTCAATGACTTGTTACAATATTATTTACGTACATGTACGATGTATAAAACTCATATTTATCAAGTGAAAGTAAAAGTATAATATAGCGTGAAATCATGAATCATGGTACAAAATCAAAATCTGGGCTACAAGTTAACAAAGATACATTTTTTTCATAAACAGTGATACGGTGAGGAATAATGCGTGGTGATTCTGAAAATACTGCTAGCCCAAATCAAGGGCACTATTTAGTACATAATAACTAGATTTCATCATATATGACAGAAAATTTCAAATTTTTTCAGAGTATAAAAACAGTTTTGCTGGCCCAATATGTAATTCTATAGCCGACATTTGAAATTTGTCACGTGACATACATGTATGTCTTATAAGTGCCCTCTATGACAGTGGGTTGCTTTTCAGCTGTATGTGTTAAAATAAGTTGTATTTTAATGGTCCAGCTTACGAAATTTTGTTTTGTTTATATGCGTTTCTTTTGGAGATGCACTTCTGTCAATTAAATAACACTGTCTGAAAGAACAGTTTAAATATGACCATATGCCATTTGTAATTTATAGTTGTTTTTCTTATAAATAGCTGGCTGGCGTGAGAGTCAAACTGAATCAGCTGAAAGATGATCTGGAAAACTCTGTGACTAAGCAAGAATTTGCAATAGCAGCAGAGATAAAGGTGGAGATTGCAAAATTAGACGAGGCAAAGGCTAAACTGCTAGCAGAAGAAGAAGATTCAGCTTTAATTCAGGAAGTCAGAACTGAAAAGGTATATTATTCATGATTTCAAACCATCTTGTACAAGATTATTTTGCCAACTTTCATTTTTAATTATAGCACAGTGCAATAGATATAAGAAAAGCCAAGGGTTGGTTTATCATGGTTTATCTAGTTGTTTTCACTTTATGATTTTACCTCATACAGAATGATCCAGCTACTCTGACCAAATGCCTATCTATAGCCAGTGAGATGTTACAAGAACTAAGCACATCAAGTCTTAATCCAGTTCTTAGAACTCTAGCTGACACTTTGGTAGGTCTCACAAGTATCATCAAAATTTGTTAGCAACCTTTTTCATTCACAATTACAGGAATTTTTCTCTTCTTTCTGTAATGGAACATGTACTTACCTTCAGATCATGAGTCATTGAATCAAATTTTCACTCATGGTACTCATGGAATAATTTCCATTTTCTATGATAATAATTTTCCAGGCTTTTGGTGGTTATTCAGCAGGGCATAAAAAAAGCCTGTTAGAGGCTCTAAATAAAAGCTTTATTGTCTTAATTTGTAGATAATACCAGGCATTCAGAATGCAGATCCTGTGGTACGTAATCTGGCTGTGAAGAGTCTTGGCTTATGCTGTCAACTATCAAAGGACTTTGCTAAACAGTATCTGCTCCTGTTGATGCAGGTATGTATGTGATGTCATCGTTAATTCCTGAGTTGTACTTACTCTAAAGCATTATACATACCAGGAGGCAACCAGTGAGACACACATCAACTGTCAGAGATAGTTCTCTGCTAATAAAACAGTAGTACATGTACACAATGTAGTGTTATAAATCCCCAAGCATATGATTACTTTATAGGTATCTCAAGTTGACCAAGAAACCATCCGTGTGACAGCCATACAAAGCATATTTGATCTCTTGCTGTTATTTGGTTTTAATTCCTTCAACACATGTGATGAAGACAAGAGTAATGAGAGTAAAGATAGCAATGACGATGAGGAAGAACGAGATGGTAATGCTAACAATGATGATGGTGATGCATCCCAATCAGATAAAGACACAAGCAAGGATAAAGAGGAGTCCAATGTAGCTCATAGTGTTCTTAACATCATGACTACTTTGTTAGATTGTGAGGTATGCTGATGTATCAGTGTACTATGGTTTGTTGCTAACATATCACTTGGATTCATTTAGGAGGCAGGTGATATCACTGCCCACCAATGCCCTTTATGTTTATTACAGAAATTATGATTTAAAAAAAAAATTAACATGATTTACAATGAACGCAGTTTTTTTATATAAATGCTAGAACTGTCAAGCATTGTACAAGTGTGTACTGTTAACAATTGAGTTCATGGTTCATAAAGACAATGTGGCGTCTAAACAAAATTCAAGAGCATGAACCCAGTGAAATTTGAAGCACTATAGTCATCATGCAGAACACTTTAAAAATTTATGTATTTTACAGGCTGGTGTTTTCTCAATCATGTTGCACCCATATCAAGCATGACATGACAGCTGGCACTTTAATAATGCAATATCAAAATACATTTTATGTCATGGACTCTGATCTTTGGTAAAACAAATTTCAAATTATGTTTCTATTACTATTACACATATTAAAGTTTGAAGTATGCGTATAGGTAAGCTTCTACTTAATAGGTCTTGACAGATACATGTATGTATTTTACTTCTATTGCAGAGTTCTGAAATCCGCACTGTAGCTGCTGAGGGTCTGTGTAAACTATTACTGTCCGGTCGTATAGTGTCTTCCAAGCTGATATCTCGCCTTGTTATACTATGGTACAACCCAATTACTGAAGATGATACCAGACTACGTCATTGCCTTGGTTCTTTCTTACCATTGTATGCCTTCGCTAGCAGGTAAACGCAGTCTCTACTCCCATCACCTTCTGAGTTCAGAAACCTTACAGTTTACATCTTCACCATTTTCATTTTTCTCATCACAATATTAGTCACCATTTATTAACAACAATAGTTTACATCTTCACATGTAAAAATACAGTACTCAGTAGACATTCAAGACAAGTGTTTTATTGTTCTGTACTGAGCACGAGCTGAATGTTCCCTGTGTAATGAGCATGTGCAGGAAACCCAGGTGTACTCTCATTTACATAAAAACAAGAGAATACATTACATTCACCAGTTTCATTTTTCTTATTACAATATTAGTCACCATTTATAAAACCAAAATGAATAGTTATTTTTACTACCCTGAAACAAGAAATCTATATTTGTGTAAGTCACACAAGATTTGCCCTGTGTCTAAATTAGAGGTGTGCCCAGATGTTTAATACTGCTTAAATTTCTGCTGAGCTCAAACTTTGCGGAGGAATCAAAAGTTAATTACTTTAATGCCCAGGGATTAATGCCAATTCTATTATATGCTTCATCAACTTTATCAAATTTTGCTTTGAAGTTGGGTTTCTTGCCAACAGTGCACAAAGTTTGTCAAAAACCATTCCGCCGAAAATCCATTCCATTGGTCATTCTTCAAAATGGACTTTTGGCAGGATTGTCCTTCAAGGAAATGTTGTAGACCTTGGCCTACATATACAACTACAAAACATCCCTCTCATTGCAGATGTACATTTTGTATCGTCCTATAATTACTCTATTTGAAGTGCAGTGATTAATGTAAACTGATCCTATAATTACCTAAATAACAATGCCATTTAAATTGTATTCTAAAAGTGAGATTGATGCATATCTATTGGAGTTGTGCTAACACTGACTTAATGCAAAAAGCAAGGAATATTTGCCTTTGGCTCTTGCTCGGATCGTCACAAACATGCACCTCTAACTTGAAAGGAGAATATTTATCATTAACAGAACACTGATGTAAGTTGTCCTGTACAAGAAACATCTATGGTACATGTATATAGTTGTAGTCGTTTGTTCATTGTGTTAATATAACAAATACTTACAGTGAAATATGTCTTTCTTCATAGAACTCATCAGGAATGTGTTGGTGAAGCCTTCCTACCTAACTCTTAACGTTCTTTTTCAATGCTCCTGTTTTCTCCCCGTTGGGTAAAATCAGTGAAA